GTACCATTCAGGACACCCAAGAACACTGTATAATAGGAAAAAAAAAGTCAAATGAAAAACAAACTGTAGATACATATAATGATAAGGGTAGTGTGGGAGAAACAGAATTATTTTTACTGTTGATAAACAGGTACAGTTAACCTTATTGTTTTTACTGTAGCCTGCTAATAGCTTTACTCCTAGCATCCATGCTAGCCTCTTATAGCGACCTCCTGCAGTCAGTCACACATATGGTGATAATATTATATTTATTCCAATTAGTTTGAGGAAAAAATGCTCCTCCAGCTGTTTATTTTTACCACTTGCCATTTTACTGCATCAGTGTTGCTGCCATAATTTCAAGTTTACTTATTTTCATTTAAAATTGTACATTTATTTGGTTTAAATGTTTATTTTCACTGTGTCTAATTTTGTATAAAATSTGTGTTCAGAAGATTTGCAAATACTTTCTGTTTTTATTCACACGTTATGCAAAGTACCAWCTTTTTCATAATCGTTGTGGAAGAAAGGAGCGGTGTAAATCAGGCAAATATGTATTTTAGTGTGTCCTAATCCTTGGGATGAAAAATCTAACACAGGTCAGATCAAGGTCTTTCTTGGGATCATGGGAATTCCTTGGGATTTTYAAGAGCCTTTTTGTTTGTACCCTTGAGAAGCGGGCGCTGGCCTCTGCACCCTGCAAGCCCCGCTGCTGGGAAAACCAGAGGCTGCACAAAGGAATGCTAAAATGTCAACGGTCATCCTGAACCAGCACCTTTGGAGAGATGGAGAGACTAAAGGTACAAGATGTGTCCTGTCCTGTCCAGAAGTGAAACTGTACTTACACTGCCAAATGTGTCCATCGTCACAAAAGCTCATCACGTGCTGAGCTACCTCAGCAGCAGCAGAGCCTGGAGAAACAAAAGTAAAAAAGAAAACTATTATGTTTCTAAATGAAAATTACAAATCAATGTTTTTGTCTAAACTAGACATACTGTTTAACTGACTGGCAGTATCAAAAACTGCTTAATTTAAAGTTTGCAGCAATATTGTGACTTAATTTGCTGCACAAATAGTGTACTTTGTTAAAGAATCAAATAAAAAATATGTATCTGCAATGCATCTAACACAATAAACTACAACAGACAACATTTATTTTTAGTGACTAAAAAATTATTTGTCCTGATTATTGAAACAGTTTATTCATTTTCATCTGATACAGCATCATTTAGTAGTTGTTTTTTTTTTATTACCATCTTTTGTCTTGTGGTAATTCACATGGCTTGCACAAGTTTCTGCTGAAATAGCAAAACAAACCCCGGGCAAAATGTGAAAGATTATCCCGTACCATGTGAGCTCGGGTGAAATGCTACACTTTTTCACACTGAACACTGCTCCACTGGGTGTGATTGAAAAACATGTAAAGCTATTGAATCCGTGCTTTGTATATGTGAGGGAAAATGAGTGTTGTAACAAGTGGGCCAGTGTTTTTGTAATTGTTTCGAATTACACCCGACGTAATAACTCAGTGAAAACAGAGCCGGTGTGCAGTCCGTTCACATTAACCAGGCAAAGACTAAGATATCCAGGCGCCTTATCACGGCCTACAAACATAAATAACAATAAAAAGTGATACGTAAACAACTCTGGAAACTGTTGTCATTATTTGCGTCCAACAAAACTTATCACCAGAGGAAGGATAATACWTTTTAGAGGTACTTTATAGCGTTTCCTTTACATGTGTATTTTATTAAATTAGACGCCCTAACATCCCTGCTTTTAATTTGCCTAACTATTTTTCTTTATTGCTAAAAGAAACGTGTGTGTGTGCCTTTGCGTGTGTGTGAATGTTTTACACATGTTGTAAAATCCCGATGCTGTGAGAAGTCTATTAGTTGTTAAAGCTGCACGCCTCCTGCCAAATGCGGACTCACTAAACAGCGAGGTTGCCAAAACTTTTGTGAACCACATAAACGACTGATTCACTTTTCTGCTTGAGCTTCGTGCTTCCTGTCAAAAGCCACATGCGGACAGAAAACTCCCTGAAGTCCAGCAGAATGTAACGCACTTGCTGGGTTTGAGTTAGTTCCAATTGGAGGAGACGAACATGCATGAGTTCACCGCTAAGTGGAACGATTTCATGTGCTTATTAAAAAAAACATGCATGCAAACAGATACAGCAGCCAGCATGAATTAGGACCTTTCTACATTCTTTTTGTGTTTTGACCTAAACCCCAAATACAAAATTAAAATACAACTCTTAGTCTGAAAGGCAGAAAGTGATACATGTTTCTTCAAGGACAACTTTTAATTTTATGTTCTTTCATTTTGTTAGATTTCTTTATCTAACCAAAAAACTCAACCTTTGTCTGTCAATAAAGATTAACATAATCTTTATATTATTTCATAATCATTATATTAGTTTAAAATGGTCTCCGAACAATATTGCAGAGTTTGCATGTTCTCCTTGTGCTCATGTGGGTTTTACCTTCAGGCCCAGGCCTCCCTTGAAAAGGAGATCTGCAATCTTAACAGGACTTTCTTGGATAAATAACGGTACATAAAAAATATTGTTTATCGCAATATTTTTTGAGGCAATTTATCATACAGCAACATTTGTTATCGTGACACACCTGCTTAGCATAAAAAGTAAGGAAATACGTGTTTGGTAGATTCTTTGTTGTAACAATTGATTTTTGGTAATAAATCAACTCTGTTACTTTCCCTTTTAAATGGAGCTACATTTGTAAGGAACATGCATGTGGGATGAGCAGTGGAGCTGAGTATGTAGGTTATGTACATTAAAAAATAGCCAAATCTTCTCTGCCAAACAGCTTTTTATTGTTGCCATTTGTTTTGAGCTTCTGGTCCCCCCCCCCCGGTGCTGCCAATCAGGTGCCTGATTAAGAAGCATTGTTACAACAAATAAATAATATACCACACATTTCCTTACTTTTTCTGTTAGTATTTTTGAAAAGTTTACAAACCGATATAAAAACAGTTCACATGCAAAGAAAAACTTATAAAGACCTTTAAGTAAAAAGGGTTTCTAGTGTGTTTTTTTTTTTTTTTGGTTCCATCTCGCTGTTTTGTCCAGAGAATGACCAGCTCTTCTGTCATCTCATGAGCTGAACTCAATCAAGCCTTAATCCAGACTGACAGTGGGATCTGTGGTGCACCAAACACGCTACTTCCTCTTTTATATGGCATAGTGCGACCTGAAATCCTCACTTGACATTCTTTTTTTTTTTTGTTTCCATGCACACGGATCAGGGATGTAATKCAATAGTCACAGAGGGACGAGGCAACGTGCAGCAAAGAATATTTTATTGGCCTGTAGACAGAGGCCTTTTCTTATTGTTTGACAACAACTAGCCCTTCTCAGAAAAGAGAGTTCTCCCTTTTGACCATATAAAGATAAAGAACATGGTTTCCTATTTGCTCAGGAATACGTTTGAAATAGACTMGGCACATTTACTGTAAGCTGTGTGCAGTAATGTGAGCAACATGTAAGTATGTGTAAAGCAAGTATTAGTATTTGTTTGTTGAATTTACTACATAAGAATATAGATTATATTTGAGGTTGTCATAAAAATCTCTTGCAAAGGTAAATGTTAAGTCCTATGACTACCTTTCCCTGACAGCACATTTATTGTTAAAGGCAAAAAATCAGCTCATTAAATTGTCACCCGTATAAATTTACATGTTGCTAATTCTTAAGATTAAAAAAACGTTACCTTTTGAATTTTGATCGTTTCCTTTCCGTGGTCATCTACTGTTGAGTCGTCAGGGTGACAGTGATACGGCTTCTACAACACGCTCCACAGGTGGTGTCAGGTGACCTCCTCATGTTCACTTTCACTGTACTGAAACACAAGTACTGTGCCAAAACTCTTTGTCATCCCTTATTTCTTCATACATTKGTCCCATGGAAACACTTTTGTGTAATATTCTGAACACCCAGTAAAACGTTCAGGCATAAATTAGCTCTTGAACTCAAACTTGTCGCAGTTTTTGTGGTGATTTTCTTGCTGCAGGTCTATTTAATTGGATAGTTTTGAATTTGTTAGTTCGTGGATTTAGCATGTTTTCTTCCATCACACAGCTGCATTCATTTAGTAATTACTCCTCCATGTTCTTAAACTCATCAACACCTGCAGTCTCTTGTAGATTCTTATTTTGTATACCCTTATTGCAGCCCTTGTAGGGCAAGCCTAGTGATTATATTGGTTTCATATGACCAGTTTAAACCAGTTATTTAAAAAAAACTCATTAAAAGCAAATAAAAAATACTAATAATATTTGCACTTTTTACTGTATATCTATGAAAAAATCACAAAAATAGTAATTCTTAAACAATAGAAACTTTAATGACTTAGCAACTGGATCTACAGCTTTTTTCTGAGTCGAGCTGCAAGGCAAAGCTTTCTGTGTTCCATCTACTTTTCTTCTCTCACCTATAATCATAAACTCTGTGTAGTGATAAAACAGCAAGACCTTGCATTCATGAGGTCCACATGAGCTTTCTTTCAGCTCTCCGTTTAGAGATTCAGAGTAGAGCCATCACTCCTCCACATCAATAGGAACCAGCTGAGGTGGTTCGAGCATCCGGTGGGCATACTCTCTGGAGGTGTTCTGGCCATGTCTAACTGGGAGGAAACCCTGAGAAAACCCAGAAGAGACTTATCTATGGCTGTGAACAAAGATGGCTCGGCTCAAGCTGCTGCCCCCTCMACCTGACTCCTTTGGCTATCAAATGGCTCTTCGTTGAGTTCTTTTTATTAAGAGCCCACACTTTCAGCTCCTGAACAACTCTTTCAAGAACTGGTTTCCAAAGAACCAGCTCTTAAAGAACCATCTCAGAGCTATTGGATCTGTGACTAAAATAATCTGATTCCAACTTCTATTGACCAGATGGTTTTAGATATTACTGTTTGTATTTGCGCCTATTCAATGACAGTGAATTATTAATGAGGACTGTTGCAAGATGAGATGTTTACTTACCGTTTCACCGGAACATGGACACTAGAAGTGTAACTGGCCTCATTGTCATCTTCTCGTTTTGATTACAATTAACTTCCCCAAACTGAAGGCAAACCACTCACAGTGCTTTGTTAACATCTGTTATGCAGTATATGACACATCCAACAAAAATACCCCATGCATAATTTATGGGGAACGGGAAACAAACCTATTTCTCAGCTGAACACAGCCAAACAAGCTTTACAGCTGCTGTGAAGAATGAGCAGACCGGCCTGTTCATGTTTGGCATAACACATATTACCGCTAATATCCCCTTGAAACAATTCATGAGCTAAAGCTAATGGTTCCTTCACAACAAACAGACTTCTTTATTTATGACTGCAAAGCCATCAGGCCATTGGTGGCCTTTTCAGCTGAGGAAGAGAGATCGCTCATACGTATCAGCGATGAATGGTGCTAATAATTTGTGACTCTAGAATATAATATTTTTGGTTTATTTTGATTTTGTCTCATTCCATATGAATATACGGAAATATCAAAATTTTGGTCCAATAAATTGTTGACTAAAAACAAACAAAAGTCTGTGTGATAGATACAAATAATCTGTATTAATAGTGTAAAGTGGTTAAATGTTAGTGGAGTCATTCAAGGATTGCTCCTTGATTGATTGATCRATAAATATTTATGTTCATTTACATACAGGGAAGTTGCAATATCTCTTCAATTATTAAACAACTATGAAATGATCAAGATTCAATAAGCACACAAATCATCATTAATACACAATTGAATCTGTTTAGTGGAACCATGGGTCCTTACAGCACCTATAACGCAAATCATTGAGATCTATTTTTTCTCATTAAGCTGGTTAAACGTAATCTAAATAAGATTTCCACTGATTCAGACCTCCCATTTCTGCCAAAGCTGTCGTTGATCATTTATGCGATTAAACAGAGACCTAAATCTCCATCTTATCCAATTAATTTTCAATGCAGGCATGAGAGTGTCTAATGATGTTATCTTACCTAATTAACCTGTGTAGGGATTCAACTCCAGGACAGGGGATTGTTCATCCTTCATCCAAGTGTTCATTATTATCATTATAATCATTATCATAAAGGGGCTAACTTATGATGTTGGCCATTCCACCACCATTAATCTAGATTGAGGTTTTTTTTTTCTTTTTGTGGGGAAGAGAGGTCCTTTGGGGTCATTTTTAATTATCACTAAAAGGATGTGAATTCTAGCAAAGCTGAGGAAGTTCAGTTGTGGTCACAGTAATAACTGGATTCCCATGACTCCATGCTACATAAATGTGATTTTGGCTGTATATGACTGGGCACGACATTCTGACGTGTAAAGGAGCCTGGCACGCTGAGAAATGCTCTTCACACATTTTCACCAGCTTTCTGATTGAGTGCTGCCTTCAACCTATTAACATTGTATACTTGAAGGAGATCAATAGCCTTCATTGGGCCATGCGTCATTGGTTAATCGGGTATTGATGAGGGTATTGACAGGAACCTAATTAATCTCTGGCCATGTGCTGGCTTTCATACATTTCTTTAATTATGCACTTCATCATAGTCCCTACACATCGGCAAGTTGGTACTTCCTTTTTGACAATGTAGTAGAGTTAGGTATCGGGTATCATTCCTTTACCATCACTTGGGTAGCATCACTGTGATATTTCACAAAGCTGGTTATAATTTGAAATATTTTTAAAACTTGCTACATCCCAGTTTAAATAGTACACATTAAAGTAGACATGTGATGCCTTTAAATCCTTATTTTTCACATTTAAATCCTTTATCCGTCCATCCATTATACCCGCTTCTTTCTTTCAGGGTCAAGGGGATCACTGGCCCCCATATCCAGCAGTCACAGTGCGAGTGGCTGCAAGTCCATCACAGTTAAATCCTTCAGTTGAGGTCTATTTAAAGTGGAACTGTAATGCTTTGATCTAAATTCCTCCTTATTGTAACTCCACAAGCCACTCCCCTTTTTCTGAGGTATGCCCAGATCAACTCATTTTGAGGCTGTCTCTTTAAAGCCAAATGAGSCACTTCAAACCCTCCATATTCCAGACCGGTTCAGTCCAGTTTGATTGAGGGGTTTATGACAGTGGTGCAGGAAAGTTTTATTTACAAATGAATTAAAAGATGTCAACAAGGGAGCAGAATGTAACGACATCTACAAAGCACCAAGAGGGACTAGATTAAACTTTTCTGCCTTCTAGAGATTCCAAGTTCACAACAAAATGTATTTAATGGCTAAAAAAGTGGATTGTGCATGATACAGTAGGTCCCCTTTAATGTCCAACATGCATCAGCCTGTGTGAAGTTCGGCTATAAGCTTTAATATACAATATGTGTGTATTTTGTGTGCACCTGCATATGCAACATGTTTTCTGTTTTGACCCATTTGGGTTGATCAGTAGAACCACACACTGGAGCACTAGTGTACATAGAGAAGAGAGAAAGAAAAAGGGAGAAGAGCACCTAAAGGTGACCCTGACTACTGGCATCACCACAGGGCTTCAATAAGCTGCTCCTCAACCTCTGCTCCACAAAGCACAAATCTGCAACTTTTAGCCTGCTGCTGTTGGTTTGATTATTGTTTATAGATACAGCCGAGAATTAAAGCATGGCCCGCAGGCAGCATAATTATTTACAGCTGAAAACTCATATCATTACCAGCATGCTCCTAATTGCCAGAAGTAATATCAATGTTAGTTGATTAAGCTTTTTTTTTTCATCTTCAGTTTCCATAATGTGCTCAGATTGTTTTTCAGCATATGGGGTGACGGTTTATCTCAATACAGCTGTTCATCTGGCTTGACTTCTATTTTTTTTATTTTATTGTTTTTACTTCTCATTTCAAAATATAATTTGGTGACTTCTTCGGGCTGCAGCAATCGATTGCTCCGCTGTTTGTTGTTCACTCACAAGGTCAAAGAAAACACAAGAGATTTATTCTTCATTGCTCAAACATAATTTATCTCTGTAAAGATTTTCCCTAAATAGATACAGATGTGACTGACAGCAGAAAAGGCACACTTTTGAGTCATGGTGATTGATATCAAAGCTACAGAGACTGGGTGTAAAGCTACTTCTGATTCATTATTAAATGATTGATTAAAATAAATGTTTATTTGGCTTGGGCCCCCTTTCCTTTTTTATGGACTTGTCAAAATATTTCATCCTGTATTTAAGGCAAAAAGAAAGATGAGGCTATTAATAACATCACCAGTGAAAGAAAGAATACATAAGCCTTGAAGGCTACTTTATTATTCACATGTAGATTAGTCAAACATCATTGTGGCGCTGCAGCACTGGGAACCTATTTCTTGGACATGAGCGCCGAAGTCTCACATCATCAATTTAATTCTGTTAGTTTGTTGTGCAGTTTAAAAAAATCTGTTTTAAAACAGGAAAGGTCAACTATTTTGTTTCATGTACATGTTGAACAGCCGTTGGATTACGTCAATGCAATTGAAGATGGCTGCCACAGTTTGCTGATATTAGCCAATGGCTATATGTCAAGTAGTCCTGATGCATCTCAGTAATCCAGGTAGAAAAAAATCAAAAAAAAAAAATAGGTCCTCTGGATGGGTTCTTCTTTAGTGAAACGTTTCGTCTCTCCTCCAAGAGACTTCTTCAGTCTGATGAGTTTCAGGTGAACTCAGCCTTATAAGCCCTGCCTCCACATGGACAAACAGGTTAGTCACATGCAAAAGAGGGCCATCGCCTAATAATAGGCTTGATTAGCTCTATTTAGT